TCTTGTTCTACTCTTCTCCACATCACATCCTTTTTTACCTGACTTTTTGACAAGTGCCTTTTAGTCTCCTCCATTGTGGGCTTTGGTGCCACCTTGTCAGTCATGTTTCATTTTACACTATGTGCCCATGTCTTTCATTTGCCTGTCCTTTCCCTTTTCTTTTTTTCACTCACTCTATCTCACGCATCCCCCTTGGCCTGCCTTTCTCCCGGGTTAAAACCTCAATATTGTCCTTCAGACCTTTACCTTCCTCTGTTTAAGCCTTTGTCAACCTGTTCCTTCTATCATCTCTCCTTGAAGGCCCTTTTCCTCCTCCTGTTTGCGTGCGGACATCGTCAATTGGATGTGTTCACTATTGATGTGCACCACTCCTTATTTCACAGTTCCTATGTGATCCTTTTCCCCAATCATTTTTACCTGCCCAAAACTTGGCCACTCTGGAGAGTAATTCTGCCTTTACACCCATCTCCCTTCCTTCCATATCACACCTTTTTGATCATTCTGGTCCTGCTTGCCTTCTCTGCCCAGTCAGGGCTCTCTGCTGTTACTAAGTGCACACTGCTTTCTTCTGTGGTTCTCATTTGTTTATTCCTTGGAATCCTTCCCAGTCCTGTGACCTTATTCCTATTACCCTTACAGGTTGGATTTGCCAGCTTATTCACTTGGCTTATTCTTCTCTTTCCTCAGATGATTGTTACCTTACCATTTCCATCATCAGTTGGAGGACATCCTTCATGCTGGTATGTGGACCACTTCCCATACCTTCTCTGCTCATTATCTTCACTATCTGGCCATTTCCTGTTCTATGGGATTTTTTATGCTTTCTCTATGAGTGGGTATGTTCTCCATTTTTCTTTGTAAGGACCTTATTGCATCTCAAGATCCCAATTTATGGTAGGTGTTGCCTGACCAGGTATACTTATTCTTAAATCTTCACTATAAGACCTGTGTGTCAAATATGCCCACTGTTGAAATGGAGTGTTCTACAAGACCATTTGTAATTATTCCTCCCGGTATATTGCTTCATAAAAATGTTTGCCCCAGACCATACACTTATGGACTATCATGAGTAAAGCAGATGGGGATTGCTGCCCATTCCTGATAATCTGTGTATTGTAGGTTGTGGGATCAGTCTGCTTACCAAAATATTTCCAAAATAAGGTGTTGTAGTCACTCATTGCAGTGTTCTTCTGGACTCTCCAACATTCTGTTTCCCCCTTCTCATGGTGGAGCATAGGAGTCTTTGCCACTGTTCCTAACTGTTGGGGTGATGGACCATGGAGGCTTCCTCCTGAGTGTGCTTACTTCCACTCAATTGAGAATAGGGTGGTGATGTTTTGTTGGTGTAGATGTCGTTGATGTTGAGCCTACTGCAGACCTGATGTACAATTACAGATGCTGCCAGGTGATGAATGATGCATTATGCTAACATGCAATTTGTTCCTCCTGCTGAGACATCTTCCTTCCTACTGCTGCCTAGAGGTTTGTTCCCAAAAGATATGGTGAAGTTGGAGCTGGACCAGCTGCATATGTCCTCACATGTGTTTCGCCAGCTACCCCTATCCTACTGTGGACTGGATGATAAGTTCCAAATGCTACTTGGTGCTGAACTGGAGATGAACCCCACTTTGCTCTCCACCATCCTACCGTCCCCTAGATTTTGGCTCCCAGCATATATGGTGTTGGGTTTGCACACATTATTATGCAAATCTTTGTATAAAGTCTCATCTTCCCTACCAGTTCCTGTATCCGAGGTGAAAGGTAGAAGACCCTTTTCCTGCTGTTGGACAGATATCCTTGTCACAGCTTGTCTGGTGTTGGTTAAAGTAGATCTCACATTTACAGTCCAAAGTGTTTAAGTCATTCTATACCAGGGATCCCTTAATTTTATTTAATTTACTGGGGTCCAACCTTTGATACCACCCTTCTGGTGATACAATATCATATGGGCAGAGAGTATACCTGGCTAAGAAGTGGTGCAGTCTCCGATGAGGGTGCTGTCTTCCATTTATTTGCACACCCCATGTTCTTCTCTTGGGTGTTTTTTAAAGGTGGATCATCTCACTGGACCCTCTGCCAACTCTGTGAGAGGAGGTAAGATATTCTATGGAAAATTAACATTTTCCTACACTGAAAATGTATTTCTGATAGATACTTATCTCTTCTCACATTTTCCACCTGACCTTCCAACTTCCGGTATAGATTTTGTACTTACTACCCAATTTCGAAATAATTAAGAGCTACACGGAAGAGAGAGTACTAGATACAATAGGAGTTGTGTCGCACTCCTCTTAGTGGAGGATTGCTGCATGATCATATGCATTATAGCATGCAGATGTCTCACGTGAGTATGCGTGAGTGTTGATAGGAGTATCAAGACTAGTGTTGAGCAAACATTTGCATATGTAAACGGCAGTATAAGTTTAGAAAAGCTATTTGTAAGTAGAGATAAGTACCTATTGGAAATACATTTTCAGTGTAGGAAAATGTTAACTTTTAAGAGGCCTATTTAACATCTTTCACTCGTCTAATACTTGGTGGATGTACAATTGTCTAAGTCTTTATGTATTATATCATCGTATACTGCATTTATAAAGTGTATTGTGACTGCTAAAGAACAACAGTGTCAATTTTGAGTATTTTGATGTAAAAATATTGGATATTGATAACACTAATACAAAACTTGTGTGTGTGTGTAGTTTGAAAGCCATTGATTTACATACAGCTATAAATTGTGTGAAACTACACCTGGAGTACAGTTCTTTTAGAATTGGTAGCATTTGTAGTAACAAAAGAGTTATAAAATTTGATGTTTTAGTCATGTAGAAGGATATTGTTTGTGTTACAAGTAAGATTGCTTATTTGTGTGAAACTTGATGGAAACTACTTTGTCTATCCTTTGTACAGGAATTAGAACCATTTTTAATTTGAACTAGATATGTTTCTTTTGCCTCTGAACTTGGAAAGTGAGGGAGAGAGAGATCAGTTGTGTTCTATTGAGGTTTTACCAATGTATTGGACTAAGGAATTGGTTTTCAAACTTTTGAGGCTTATGTACCTACTTTTTTGCCTGATTTAAAAAAAAATAAACTAGTAGCAAAGATTAATATTTTAACAGTTATCCATTTATAGGAAGGATGTGATTGTATTTTTCTGTCACAATTGAAGAATGTGTGGGGAAGTTTTTGTCAGTTTGGAGGAAAGAAAACATTACTGAGTTTATGCAAGTGGGGGGGGGGCAACTCTAGAAGTGAGGAGAGTACTGGATATATTTGTGCAGGAAGCTAAATTGGGCTTATTATAAGTTTTATAATTCTTACATTAATTTATTTGCATACCACTGACATTAGCTCCATGTATTCCAGACAGTTTGAAAATATCTAGTTTAGCATTTAACTAAGGAAGGAAATATTATTTTATGAGAAAGTACATTATATGCTGTTAAACATAATGATTTCAGTGCTTTAACATCTAACCCTCACATCTTCTTCTTGTTCTATAAATCAGTATATAAAGGTATAAATTGGCATTAGGTTATCTCTTTTTTTATCAGTACATGATGTAGCTTCTTCAGACAATAACTTCAGTATTTACCTGTATGCAAACTAGGGCTGAAACGAATATTATAAGTAGTGCTTCGAAGCTTCTTGCAAGATAACTACCGAAGCTTCTTACAATTGAGTATACTTGTTATATTATAACAATGTATGTATTTAATTTGTTACAGTTTGATTGTACACGAGTTTGACCTTCAGGCATTTGACCTGTCAAAGTTTAATATGACTGGACAGCAGTTGTGTAGTCTGAGCAAGGAAGATTTCCTAGAGTTTGATTACAGGCCTTCTGGAAGCTTTTATTTAGTAGCATTACATACTCCATAATCTCCCATTCTTCCACCACTTTCTTCAGCTTTTCTGCAATGTTTATCCCCATGTGCCATTCTGGGAAAGGTAAGGTTTCCAGTACAAAGGCCTGTAGCACCCAGCTGTTATCAATGTAATGCTCTGTTATGGTGATGTAACTTTCTGTCGTGATGCTAGTCCATATATCCGTGGTTAACAATATAAACACTGCTTCTTCACTTAGCCTTTCTTTCAGACGTTGTTTGCACATTGCATGTTTAAGGTTGATATCAGCGGTAAATTGTTTTCTGCTTGGTAAGACATATCCCGGCTCCAAGTACTTCATTAAGTTACGAAAACCATTGCATTCAACAGTTCGAATGGGGCATAGGTCTTGAAAGATCATTTGAGTCACTCTGTCTTTGCACGTGTATCATTGCACTTCGCAGGCCTTACAAATCTATCAAGGGTAGGCATCTTCCTGCTCTCCGTTATGGTTGTCTCGATGTCTGGACAGTAAAGAGTCGAGTGCTTCGATGCTAGGTGATTCCATAGGTTTGTCCCACCTAAATAGGCAAATTCTTTTTTACAAATAATGCACATGGCTTTCCTACGGTCGTGAAGTTTCTTATAAAAACTCCATACGTCCGAAACCTTTTTACAACTACTTCCAACCGTGCCCTTATCTGACGCCATTTTTTTTCTAATCAAAAATTGTATGCATAGCGCATGCATATAAATAAACGTGCGAACATTCGAATAGGCACTGCCAGATCCAAAGCCTCTGTCAGCTTCGAAGCTTTGGAATATTCAAATACTTCATCTCAGCCCTAATTCAAACATTCTTGATCATTTGGTTTTTAAGAAAAGCTGATTAGTATCTTGTGACATAAAAGTGGCTATTCTTATTTAATTATAATTGATCATTAAAATGTATAATCTTTCAAATTTATATTTTTGTTTAGGACTGAAGTGTTTTTTCAATTTGGTATGGTAGCTTTTGTTTCTGTGTAATATAATTTCATCATTATTTCAATTAATGACAAAATTATTTTCATGTACATGCATCATTTAACTCAGCTTATTTATCATTGACTTACTTCTGTGACATTATGGTAACATTTTATAATAAATAATTTACTGTTATGTTGCTTTCAGTGAAACCCTTGGTACAAAGAATTAAAAGTTCCCGGCTCCTCAAGGAAGACTTTGAAGTTCTGAAAGTCATTGGTCGGGGAGCTTTTGGTGAGGTATGATTTATAAACGTCATCAGCACTCTATTTTCTGGAAAATGTAGGAAAGAGTATAAAACTTCATCTCCCATGTACTGTTTAGATTTAATAGCAGTACTTTGTTAATTTTTGTAAGATTACCAATATTTTCTTGTAGATTACAAGTGTATTTGCTTCATCAGATAGATCTTTTAGGCTTGTAATGAATAAAAAAAAATTACCCAATCAATATGCAAATAGAATTGAAATTCAGGACATTTGCCGTAACCCTGTAAACTTTGGTGTGAATTAGTTCGGTTTATTACTAACCTGCTAGTAGACTATTTCAACTGAATAATTACACCACTACTGTTGATTTTAAGGCTGTTTTTTCAAGCTTAGACTAGTTGAATGCTAGACTAACCATAAAGCTCAACATATTGCAAAGATACCTTTCACTTAACCTAGCTAATTGTACAGTGTCATAGATAATATGAGGAATGAGATTAAGCTGTACAATTTTGCCGTTTATTATACACCTAACCCACTTTTCATACACAAACATTTTGAAATGCAACAAGCACATACTCTGTTTAAGGACACAGGCGTTATATGATAATTCATACCACCCATTTCTGTTTGTGAAAAAAAAACATATATATAAAGTTGAGTGAATTTAAAGTTGATGCTGTTCTAGCAGGAGTAAGCTTGTATATTACAGTATGCTTTAAAGAAGTATAGTAACCTTTAAGTGAAAGTACATGTGCAGTGATTAGTTGAAAAGAAATTTAAAAACATACTTTGTTCATTATTTTATCTCATCACAGTACTCTAGTAATTGTATGTTGTAAGTGATAAAATAAATTGTGAATAAGGAGTCTTGTTGTACTAAATAAGGATTTTTAATTCTTTATTATGTGATAAATAAAATAAAGATAACATTAAAGTGAAATGTTTTTATTACTATAGTTTAATAATGTTGTATAGCTTTGAGTATTCCTAATTGTCCAAGCATGCTTGCTGTTGAAGTGGATGTTTTAGCTACTATAACTTCATAGTAAGGCTAGAAGAACTTCACTGAAGCCACTTAATCTGTTTTGTAAATGAAATACAAAAAAAGTATTATAATCACCAAAACTTTTGCATACAATTTGAATTATCGTAGTCTCTGTTGATCAGAATATTCAGTTGTCTGGATTGATCATTGATATTTTCAATAACATAATGTCACAGGAACATTTTCATGTCTGCTTCTGTTCAGTTTTTTTCCCACTGAACAGAGATTATTGAAAGATGTCATGTTTTTAAAGTTTGTCTTATTACTTAAGTTAAAGACATAATTTCTTTAAACAAGAATTGAGAAATATGTACCAGTATGTGGTTAATAAACTTTTTATGAGAATATATTTATTTCATTAAATGTGTCAGCAAATGTGATTGTAATAAAGAAGGAAAAATCATTGCATAATTTATATACATCCTCATTTGTATTAACACATTTAGTATTTCAATATTATGTAAAGATTACTGAAAAGGAGTTATTGAATGTAGAGTAGTATGTTTAATGGAGATATCAATTTCATTTTATCACAAAAATTAAACAAGGTTTCCTTCTACATAAATATTTGTTGGATGAGGCCTATATTTATAATACTTATAAATATAATATCAGTATTCATTGCATATCAGTTGATTATCTGGTGCTATAATTAAATATAGTGTGGTTGATTAGGAATTTTTGAAAATAAAAATAAAATAGGCATTGGAAAACTTATGAACTCCAGCAAACCCCATAATCAACTAGATATTAAAACTAATTATTTTAATTACACATCAATTGATATATATAAATCCCTATACAGTTTAAAGATAGGTTCATGGCAGTTATTATAATTTTAAATTTTTTTTTGAAATAGTTCAAAAACTGCAGGTGGTAATTGTTTTTGTTAATCATGTTTTTTGTAGGTTAGTGTTGTAAAACAAAAAGACACTAAGAAGGTATATGCAATGAAAACATTGAACAAGTGGGAAATGTTGAAAAGAGCTGAGGTAAGGAAAGTAAAAAGAATATAGTCTAGAATAGATTTTTTTCTTCATATTTCATGTATGTATTAATTTTGTGTGTGTCATTCACTTGAAAATTATGTGACTTGGAATTCTTCTATTAATATATGGACATTAGAAGTACTTTATGCCTAAGTATTCATTTTAAGAATACTGACTAGTCAGTAGTAAAGAGTGCTTGCTCATGTGGCTAGTCACAAAGTAATCTTGAAATTAATTTCTATAAAGGAAGTTAAAAAACACATGCACTTGGAAATAAATCTTACTGAGGAATTTTTGAAAATAGTTTAGATATAATTGATTTCTTTATGAAATATTAGGATATGTTTGCAAAAATAGACAATGGAAATAAAATATTCACGTAAATGAAGAAATACAGTGTATTCACAGAAATTCATTCATGAACTAAATTTGCACATAAAAAAATTAATGAAAATTATGTAATATTATACACATAAAAGAGCAGTTTTTTTCGCACACATCAATGGACTATCACATTTTTAAAGCTTTTACACAAAAATCTAAGGCTGCCTTAGTTGTTCTTAGAGATGTGATATTCAGTGTAATGTCTTAATTATTTAAGAGTGATTACCTGTCAATAAAAATGACCTGTTTTTTAAGCAAGTGATAACTGTTAAATCTTGACAATAATTTTAGTTTTTGTTCAAAAAAATCTTATGGTTGAGCTTTAATTATTGAGGTGAGAAAACTTTATTCATAGGTCCTGTTTCAATATTAACTTCTAATCAGAGCAAGCTGTGTACTTAAAGAAAAACTAGAAATCCACTTGACAATATATGTATCTAATTAAACATACTTTTCTTGCACTTCTCTTAAAAAGATTAGAATTGGATTTTTTCATCAGTTGGGTATATGTGCTGTTAACTGTTTTTGGTCATAATCCTATAGTATGGCCAAACCTGCATGTAGTATACTTACTTGCTTCATTGTTATGCTTACAAATACACTTTTAAAATAATGTTATAATTTCTAAAAAGTATTGTTTTCCTCTCTTAACTCTTTCAGCACGGGCTCGGTCCTTAGGACCGACCTCGTAACTATTTTGTGCTCCTTATTGTTTTCATGCTATATTTTTAAATTTGTAAGCATTTGTTAACGAAATATGGCACATTATCAGTAAACATTACAATGCTTTCATACACAAAATATCAATATCTTTTATTAAGTCTTAAGGTTTGTAAAGCAATGTTTTTCTCATGCTTTTTTTTTTCTTTTTGCATATTGCCTATCTAACATGGAAAGTAATTTTCATTTTAAGATTAAAAAAAAACTTTATATTTTATCACTTATCTTCAGTAATGAATCTCTGTATGAGTTCGGTAGATTTGACCGATCTTGTAACCATCATAAAAAAAATTTGAAAATAAATATAAATTATGCCTCTTTCATTCTAGAATGAA